TTCAAGTCACCCCCGGTAAACATTACAAAATATGGATAATAAGAGCTATAAATCTAAATGATAACAACAATAACAATAATAATTTTGAAAAAGTTATTGTGTATTAATAATGAAATACAAATATCAATGATAACAACAATAGTAATGATAATTTAAATAAAATCTAATAATTTATTAATGATAAAATATAAATAATGATAATAACAGAAAACAGAAATGTGACTAAAGCATCCTCATACACGTTTAACACCAGCTTGCTGCCGTGCTGCCCCCCAGTGGACAGGGCAGGAACTCCACCCTTTTCCCCATTTCTGTCCATCTAGAGAGGCTGAATAATAATGATAATAATAATAATAATAAAATCTTATTATAATTATTATATTATAACGTAATATAATGATAATAATAATTTGTTATGAAGACTCTTCTTAGTCTTCCTAGCCGGGCAGAGCTGCCGGCTTTGTCTCCGTCTTTATGGACACACTGCAGACGGGTGATGGCTAAACGGTCACCATGACCGGCTGCTTAAACTCCTCTGTCTGCCACCCGTCTCCAAAGGGAGACTCCAGGTCCAGAGGTCCTCCTAAAATGACCTTCTGAGGCACCAGCCGACTGAGTGGGGCCTGAAACAAATGTTTTTTACGGATTAACTAGGATTTGGATAAAAATAATCCGTCTCAGATTAACATAATTGGGTAGACATTTGACTGGATTAATAAAGATTACGAGTAAAGTCCTTAAATAAAACCAGAGACCTGGGAATAGCTGGACTTAATCTGGGCCAGCAGAGGGCAGCGTGGCGTCTCCCTCCTGATTCAGGAGCCTCAGGTTGAGCCACCCAAGTCCGGCAGGCTGCGATCTGAGCTCAGTCCACATTTTCCACTTAAAAATTGTTTTAAAAAAAAAGCTTTTTTCAAGTTTCTGTCCGGAAAGACGCGTCACCAACGAGCTGAGAGTCCTCCGCGTAAAAGACGCACTGCGGGGTGGTTACCTAGCAACGTGGGAGAGCTATAAATATCCTCTGATGTCTGAGTTTGGGACGATCTATCTATCTATCTATCTATCTATCTATCTATCTATCTA